AAGATTTGGAACTAGTTTCCATCGCAGTTGGTTGTACGGTATTTTTTTGCAAACATTAATTTTTGAGGTTTTTAAAATTTATTTTCGAAATTTATTTTAGATTTACACTTTATGAGGAATTTTGTCGTTTATCAGGTGGGTCAAAGGGCATCGTGACTTTAAGGTGCACACATCAGATGTTGCCACACGACAACACCATGCTGTCCGTGATGTTCACAAGTCCGTAACTTGCAGTTCTTTTTTTCAACTGGTTGCATCGAAACAATGGAGTCAGTTCCTTGCTCATCAGAATTTGTAGTTAGTGAGGTTATTTTGCTCTCCGCAAAGCTGAGTTACAATACTGCATCACTCTCCCTCCCCTTTTCCCTTAATTCATTCACTTTTCAGGCCAATCAGACAAATTTACTTGAATGTAAACTCTAAGGTACATGATAAGTTGTCAAAATGTGGATATAGCGCTTTAACAGATACAAGGCAACAAAAAAACAAGCAGTGCGAGATTGGTTCCCTGTCAGGCAGATCTGTGTCTCTTCTGACCGATCAAGGTAGTACCATACGAAGTTTTCTGGACTAAGGATTTTCTCATCGTCCATGCAATACAGCCAAGTTTCTCGAAGAAAATGGCTCATGTGTTGCTGACAAGCATTAGAGTGAGAAACTCCTTAAGCTTTTTGAACTTTGGAATAATGGTCATGCAGCCGAAAAATGCAAACTTTTGGTGAGTGTTTTTCGAAGCATTTTGTCATCTGTTTTTCTACAACGTTTGGTCTTCCAAATGCTTCCAAATTTTGTCATGAAAGGAAGTGAAGAATCAACAAATTCAGGGGTTGGTCCGTGCTGCAACTGGATGTGTACGACGTGATATTCGTGATTGCGTTAATGCCACGATTGATAGCTGGCTGAGTTGTACGCGATAATTGGCCACATTTCCTAATCCTCCTCCTTTCTGATCAGGGCTAGGGATCGGCATTAGTAGAAGTCGCTTCTAATGCGATGCTATCCGCAGTAAATGATTTAGTGTCATAGACAGTAATGGCAGTTGTTGATTCTTGCTCTGCGCGCTTCTACAGATCTAGCATCTCAAGTGATGAATGAATCCTCACGATCTTAGTTGGCTGCTGGAAATTTGCCATCTGTTGTATTTCAGAGCGTTCATCGGTGGTGGCTTTGCTTCCGTGACTGGTCAGTTGATCCTCGTTCCGTTGGATATCATTTCGCAGCACATGATGGTGTTCAGCCGCTGCACAGCCGGCCGCATCGGCCTAGCGATGGTCCCCCTCCGTGGCCAGACGGACGCCCTGGGTATCGCCGCCAGGCTACGCGAAAGTCCGAGCAGCAGCCTGACCCTGGTCATCTGTCGAGAGATATACATAAGAGACGGTCTGATCAAGGGCTTCTATCGCGGTTACTTCGCGTCGCTCATGTGCTACGCTCCCAGCAGCGCTTTGTTTTGGCTCTGCTACCACATTTATTCCAGTAAGTAGGTAGGTTGTTACATACATAAACAAGTTAGCAATTAAATATAAGTAAGTAAGTAAGTAAGTAAGTAAGTAAGTAAGTAAGTAAGTAAGTAAGTAAGTAAGTAAGTAA